GTTTACTATCTATTGAGTCCTACAGGCCATGACTCATGAGTAATGTGCAATCATGTACATTTATTTTTATCATTATCATTCCAGCATATTAACATTACAATTTGTAAAGACTATTTCTTTCTGGAATACTTACTAATTCACCAGTAATATTAATCACACTGACAAACCAAGCCAGAACAATGAAAAATGTAAGTTGTAACTACACACGATTAGTACACTCCCATTCCATGCTATGTAATAGACTAAGAACACCTACCATACCTACAAATCAATACTCTCCATAACTTCCTGTTATTTATGATGCTTTAGTGGTTATCATCACAATATTTCCACTGTTCCTGTCTTATTAAGTAAACTAACATATCAACCAAAAAAAATTACTTTCCAGTTAAAAAACTCAGTGTATAAACATTCAAACAAACCAAAATTAAAATATTTGGTCACTCCACTAATGCCATCTGGTACTGTAATCACATAATAAACATTGCTGCTTCTAAAACAGTTTCAGGATAATTGATATTTTTAATGGATGGCCAAAAAAGGGTTAGTATACTGTATCAAATAATGCTGAACTAAACAATTTTGATTTATATAATAACAAAATTTAGTTACTAGTACCAAGATTTATGAAAACAGACCATATTCAAGATCAGTTTATATGTAAGTAATAAAAAAAAAAGAAAAAACTCCCTCTGTCCTTTAATTGTTTTTTTCTGTCAGGAGTGATAATAAACTGCTACTCCTATGCAAGAATTTTTGATAAAAAATGTCACATTATAATACACTTTTATACAACTCACCAAATACCTATGCCTAACACCACAATACTTTATACTTGAACTTCTTAGTTTTTCTTTTTTCTCTAATAAATGACATGTTTGTTATATATCTATTTGTCCTTATTTCCATAAAAAGTATATGAAGTTAATAACTAATGATCACTTTTCATATATGTAACAGGTCTTTAAACAACTAAAATCAGAGTTAAAGGGAATTTAAGTTCAGCATTACATACAATATGCCTATAACTTTATCAATTACACACCATACCCAGAAATGTGCGTGCTTCACTAGCTCTACTGGGGCACACACTTCGAGCCATACATACGAGATTTTCATCATGTTGTATAAAGCAATATAACGTGTGTTGGCACTAAGAGAATCAGCAATTTCGTGCCACCTGAAAACAAACAGCATTTTCTTGAATTCAAGTACTTAGAAATGACCTAATATACCAATTCTACTGATGATACAATTCCTTTGCATAATTCCAGCATAATAGTTTAGTGAAATAAAGATAATTTTGTGAAACTTATTAAGGGAAACAACCCATCCAAGATATGGAAAGAAAAATATAGATAATAGCAAATGCTGAAACTTAGACCTAACAATATTCTCACACACATATATGCACATATATATATGAAGAATCCTTCATATGCAAAGAAACTACCCAGGCTTTAAAGCAACTGAATAAAATGTTCTCGGTGCCTGAAGGGTGTGTGATGGCTTTTGGCACAAAAATAGCAGGACATCAAGGCAAAATAGCTCTAGGGTTGCCCTTCATTCCTGTCAGCTTCTTGCACGTACATCTGCACATACCCACATATCCACTTAGATATATATAAATATCCCATTCTGACATCTTTGTGTATTAAGGAAAATACAACAATATATCCTACCTTAGCCTTTGCTCCCAAGAATACTCCATGTCTTTGCTCTTTTTGGTGAAGGTCTCCTGTAATTCAGCCATTTTTCTTTCCGATTCCTCCATCTGTGAATTTGATGAAACAAAACTACAATTTACTGTTCCATATAGATATATTAACTATTATATCCTACCATTAAAAAACACAAATGATAAGACTATATAAGTAGGGTAAGAAATCATTAAAGCAGCAAACTTTCAAGACATAACATTTTGCTGCTGAATATCAGACTGCTATTGACTGATTTCAATAACAAAATCAATTCAAAAAGAAATATCATCCAATGGAGCAACTGCTAACTGAAAAGAGAAGGAAAGAAATATACACACACACCAATCCTGAGTTATTTTACATAAATCTCTGTGACAAACTGGCACAGCTCCCTAATGACCCATCTAGTGTAGTCACACTAAAAATACTGCATACCCTCCATCAAAAAATTCTCCGTAACTGAAACTCTTAATCAATTACAAAACTTTGAGGTTAAAATAATTGTGTACACTGTATATATATTCTCTTGGAAATACTAAATACACAAATGCCTCAATGAAGTACTCAGTTATCAAGGAGTAAATTATTAGGACTGCCTGACATCATGTGATCCCTATTCTTTGGGTTTTCATAAAAAAATTATCTTTATTACTATTAGTATAATTCATAATGCTATTATTTTAATAATAACAGCAACAACTTGGATATTTTTCTTAATATTTAAAAAATGTAATAAACAGGTGAGGTCAGGTAGGCCTAGTAATTGGATCCTAAATGACAGTAACTGAATCCTTTATGGCTATGTTCTTATGGTACCACATATGAGAAACAAAATAAAACTAGAGAGGGTAGTGTATGTGCCTGGTTCCAATAGGCTAAAAAAAATTGCTGTCATCCAAAGAAAATCCAAAATAAAGGACTTGATCAAGACCTTAATACTTGAAAATTGCATCCGGCTAAGACATTCTCTCTTTTATCACTGACTCACTGGAACTATGGTGTGAGTGTACTTAATTTACCCTAGCCTAGGGTGTTCATAAGTACCACTCAAATAATGGAAAAATCTAAGTTACTGGTCTACTACATTCCCCATGCATTTTTATTTATTAACAGTGACCTGCTATGGATTTTTACATAAGTCAAAATTCTTTTCTTTAACACAAAACTACAAAGAGACTTTGCATTTTCATGAAAATTTGCTGCATGAACAGGGTACTTAAAATATATTGATAAAAACCTTGTGCAGAAAATAAAAAGTATTTCAAATGCACCACCTAATAAAATATGCTTAATTTAAATATAGCAAAAGATCTGTCAAATCTATATAATGTAAAGAATATAACTAACAAAAACAAAATAATTGCATATACTAGTTTGTTCTAAAAAATGTTTTACAAATATGTCTGGGTTGATTTAATGTAAAAGTATATCAAAATCATAATATACATCTTCCTCACCTGCCTGACAAGTCGTTCTTCTGCTGACATTGTGGCATGAACTTGTTCTGATAGCTTCTTCTCCAAATCATGTTTCTCCTGTAAACTGCTCTCAATCTTCACCTTCAGAGACTCCTCGTTATTGTGCATCTGTTCCTCCAGCTGTTCTGTCTTAGCCTCAAACTCAGTTACAACTTTCTTCAATGACTCTTCTTTAGACTTCAATTCATTCTGTAAATCTTCAACCCTTTTCTCAAGCTCTGTAAGTAGAGTCTTCTTTTCACTCAACAATTTCTCAATCTTCTCATCCTTCTGTTTTATAGAAGCCTGTAAATCACTGATGGTTTTCAACAGATCACTATTCTTGGTTTCTAGAGTCTGGTTGATTTTTTCAATTTCACACATTTTATCATTCTGCTCTTTACTATGTTTCTGATAACCTTCTTTCAGTTTTCCAAGACTTTCCCGTAATTTAGAAACTTCCCCCTCAGCTGTAACAGAAGCCTTCAGAATATCTTCTTTAGCTCTATTATATTCTTCTTCTTTTTCTTTATTTTCCTCTGTCAACCTTCTCACTTCTTCCACAAGTCTCTCTGCATTCTTCTTCGCTGCAGCTGCTTCTTCTTTCACCTTTATCTCTTCTTCACGTAAGGCTGTCAGCTCCATGCGCATCTTCCCCATTGCAACTTTAGCTTTCTCTAGCAATGCATTCAACTTGTTCTTCTCCTCACCTGCAGCTGTTAGCTCAACCTCTCTGCTGTTAATGTCAGACTCCAGTTCTGCTACACGGCTATTAAGTTCTTCATTTCCTTTCTGGACATTATCCAGTAAGGTCTGGCATTCTATTTCCTTACCTTGCAAACTCTTTTCTAAATCCTTTATTTTACAAGCAAGCTCTTTATTCTTGTCTTCTTTCATCTGAAGTTCATTTTTCATATCTTCATTCATCTGATTCAAGTTACCATATGTCTTCAATTCCTCATTTAGCTTTTCCACTCTTTCCTTGTATTCATCTGATTTGACTTTCAAACTTTCTTCCAGTTCAGAAACCTTCTTACTAAGGTCTTCATTTATTTTGTTTTTTTCCTCCATCTGAATAGACCAGTCTTTGTTAAGCTTGTCCATCTTCTCAGTTAAAGTAATAAGCTCACCAAAAGCTTGCTTGCTGATGCTGTCCATGCTTTCCTTGGATTCCTTTACTTCATCATTTAGCTGATCCTTCTCCTTTTTCAAATCTTCATTTTCACTCTCAAGAATCAAGAGTTTCTGGTTAGTTTCCTCTTTTTCCAATTTGGTCTGCTGCAAATAACTCATGATATTTTCCTTTTCTTCCTTCAAAACTTCAATTTCTTTACTATGAGCCTGCTTCTGCAGTTCCCTTTCTTTCTCTTGTTCCTCAAGCTGGTTTTGAAGAGACATCTTTTCATTACATGTACTCTTTATTTCCTCAATGAGCTTGGTATTTTTCTCTTCACTTATATTTAATCTTGCTTGCAGATCATTAAGTTTTAGTAAGGTCTCCTCAATGGTTTTCTGTTGCTCATTTACCTTTTCTGTTACAATTGCCTTCTCTGTTTTTAATGCTTCTGAAACAGCTTTGAGGTCATTGTTTTCCTTTTGAATGTCACAAAGCATAGCCTCCAGCTTCTCATTGGTTTCTTTTAGCCTCATTACTTCCTGAGATGCAGCTGAAGCACTATCTGTACAATCTGACTGTACTTTTTGCAAGTTTTCAACCTGCCTCTGGAGGTCCTGTTCCTTCATGTTCACCTCCTTACACTGGGCTTCCAGATCCTTTTTACTATCAGTTAGTTCTCTTATTTGTTCTCCTAATTGATCATTAGCACTCTGTAAGCCACTAATCTTCCCCTCTAATTCCATTTTCAAACTTTCTAAAGTGGATATTCTACCTTCTAGTTCTGAGTTATACTTTTGAATTGTAAATACTTTGCCTTCCTGTTCTTCCCTTGAGCTTTCAGACAAAGAAAGTTTGGATTCTAGGTCTGTTTTGCAATTCTCAAGAGAGTTAATTCTTTCTTCCATATCAATTTTACACCTTTCTAAATCAGTAATCTTACCCTCCATTTCAATTTTAGAACTTTCTAATACAGACACATTTTCCTCCAGCTCCTTTTTCTGGCTCTTCAGAGCAGTCAACATTTGTTCTGTCTCTGCTTTATCACTGTTCAAACAAGAGACACTATTGTCAAGCTCTCCTTTCTCTTTCATTAACTGCTGTATTTTCTCTTCTAACTGCAGTTTAACTTGGCCAATTTCATTTAACTGGGTTTCTAAGGCAGTTCTTGATTCCTTTAATTCTAGGGTTCTTGATTCTAATTCCTGTATCTTTGTTTTTACCTCATGTTTAATGGAAGCTACAGCAGCTTCACTGTCCTGCTCTTTACCATCATCAGCTCTTTCACTGTTTTGAAGTTCCTGGACAGTGATATAAATTTAAATATACATAAATATACATATAAATACAGATATACAAAGAAAATCCAACTATACACTATACAAATGTAATGGATATTTCTACCACAGTATAAATATATTATTTCTGACAAAGATATATTTGAAACCAACAAAATACATCTCTTGTATTGTGGAAATATTCATTTTCATTCATACCTTTTCTACACTGTGAGTGTATGTGTGTATGAATGTTTGTGTATGACTGTGTGCATATGAATGTTTGTATTTGTAAGTGTATTTGTGTATGTGCGTGCAAGTTGCACGTGCGTGCATGCGTGTGTGTGTGCATGCGTATGAGTATGAGTATAAGTAAGTGTATGTGAGAGTGATTGTGACAAAGTGAGTGAATCTGTGTGAGTGCATCTAAATGTGTGGGTATTAATAAGTCTCTATGTGTTCATGTTTGTGTGGGCATATGTTTGCATGTGGGTGGGTGTGCACTTATGTATGCCTACACCTGAATTTGCGCTTGTGCTTTTGAGTGTATACATATCCATTTTATGAATGTGTGTGTGTGTGTGTATAGTTGTATCTTTGTGGTTGTGTGTGTGATTAAGTGTGGTTGTGTACATGTGTGTATGGTTGTGTAGATGTGTGTGTGGTTGTGTACGTGTTTGTGTGGTTGTGTATGTGTGTGTGGTTGTGCATGTGTGTGTGGTTGTGCATGTGTGTGTGGTTGTGGTTGTGGGTTTGTGTGTGTTGGTTGTGTATGTGTATGTGTATGTGTATTTGTGAATGTGGTTGTGTGCTTATGTGTGTGGTGGTGTACATGTGTGTGTGGTTATGTACGTGAGTGTGTGATTATGTACGTGTGTGTGGTTGTGTATGTGAGTGTGTGATTATGTACATGTGTGTGGTTGTGTATGTGAGTGTGTGGTTTTGTACGTGTGTGTGTGTGGTTGTAGACATGTGTGTGGTTGTGTTCATATGTGTGTGTGTAGTTGTGTAAGTATGTATGGTTGTGTACATATATGTGTGGATGTGTATGTATGTGTGGTTGAATATATATGTGTGTGGCTGAGTGTGCTTCTGCATGTGCACGTACATGTGTATGTGTGTGCATGTATGTGTGTGTGCGTGTGTTTGCATGTTCGTGTGCATGTGTGTGTGTGTGTGCATGAGCGTGTGCATGTGCGTGTGTGTGTGCATGAGTGTGTGCATATGCGTTTGCGTGTGCATGTGTATATACACATGTCAATGTGCCTGTGTGTGTATGTGCATGTGTGTGTGTGTGTGTGTGTGTGTATGTGCATGTGCATGTGTATTGTGGGTGAATGTGTCTGTGGATGCCTGTGTGTACATGAGCATGCGTATGTGAATTGTGGGTGCATGTGTATTGTGGGTGCGCTTCTGCATGTGCACGTACATGTGTGTGTGTATGTGTGTGCGTGTGTTTGCATGTGCGTGCATGGTGTGTGTGTGTGCATGAGCTGTGTGCATGTGCGTGTGTGTGTGCATGATGCAATGCATGTGTATATACATGTCAATGTGCCTGTGTGTGTATGTGCATGTGTTGTGTGTGTGTGTGTGTATGCATGTGCATGTGCATGGTATTGTGAATGTGTCTGTGGATGCCTGTGTACATGAGCATGCGTATGTGAATTGTGGGTGCATGTGTATTGTGGGTGCTGTGTAATGTGGGTGCATGTGTGTGGGTGTATGTGTGTGGGTCCATGTGTGTGTGGGTGGATGTGTGTCAGGGTACTTGTGTGAGTGCGTGGGTGCTTGTGTGAGTGCGTGGGTGCTTGTGGGTGGGTGCTTGTGTGGTGTGTGTGGTGGGTGCTTGTGTGGGTGGGTGCTTGTGGGGTGGGTGCTTGTGGGGTGGGTGCTTGTGGGTGGGTGTGTGGGTGGGTGCTTGTGGGGGTGGGTGCTTGTGGGTGGGTGCTTGTGTGGTGGGTGCTTGTGTGGGTGGGTGCTTGTGTGGAGTGTGTGTGGGTGCTTGTGTGGCGTGGGTGCTTGTGTGGTGGGTGCTTGTGAGTGGTGGTGGTGGGTGCTTGTGTGAGTGGGGCTTGTGTGAGTGGGTGCTTGTGTGGGTGGTGCTTGTGTTGTGTGCTTGTTGGGTGCTTGTGTGCTTGTGTGGGTGTGTGATGCTTGTGTACTTGTGTGGGTGGGTGCTTGTGTGTGGTGGGTGCTGTGTAAGTGGGGTGTGCTTGTGAGCTGGTGCTTGTGTGCTTGTGTGGGTGGGTGCTTGTGTGAGTGGGTGCTTGTGAGTGTGGGTCCTTGTGTGCTTGTGTGGGTGGGTGCTTGTGTGCTTGTGTGGGTGGGTGCTTGTGTGGGTGGGTGCTTGTGAGGGTGGGTGGTGGGGTGGTGCTTGTGGGTGGGTGCTTGTGGGGGTGGGTGCTTGTGGGGGTGGGTGCTTGTGGGGGTGGTGGGGGTGGGTGCTGTGGGTGGGTGCTTGTGGGGGGTGCTTGTGGGTGTGGTGCTTGTGGGGGTGGGTGCTTGTGGGGTGGTTGCTGTGGGGGTGGTGCTTGTGTGGTGGTGCTGTGTGGGTGGGTGCTTGTGTGGGTGGGTGCTTGAGTGGGTGGGTGTGCTTGTGTGAGTGGGTTGTGTGGTGGTGCTTGTGTGTGGGTGCTTGTGGTGGTTGCTTGTGTGGGGGTGCTTGTGTGAGTGGGTGCTTGTGTGCTGGGTGCTTTGTGTGGGTGGGTGCTTGTGTGTGGTGGTGCTGTGTGGGTGGGTGCTTGTTGGTGCTGCTTGTGGGTGGTGTGCTTGTTGATTGTGTGATGGTTGTGCTTTGTTGGTGGTGCTTGTGTGCTTGGTGGGTGGGTGCTTGTCTTGCTGTGGGTGGGTGCTTGTGTTTGTGTGGGTGGTGCTGTGTGTGTGTGGGTGCTGTGTGTGCTTGTGTGTGGTGGTGCTTGTGTGGGTGGGTGCTTGTGAGTGGGGTGGTGCTGTGGGTGGTGCTTGTGTGCTTGTGTGGGTGGGTGCTTGTGCTGGGTGGGTGCTTGTGGGGGTGGGTGCTTGTGGGCTGGGTGTTGTGGGGTGGGTGCTTGTGGGGGTGGGTGCTTGTGGGGTGGTGCTTGTGGGGTGGGTGCTGTGTGGGTGGGTGCTGTGTGGGTGGTGGGTGGTGCTTGTGGTGGGTGTGCTTGTGGGGTGGTGCTTGTGGGCGTGGGTGCTTGTGGGTGGGTGCTTGTGGGGGTGGGTGCTTGTGTGGGTGGGTGTGGGGTGGCGTGCGTGCTGTGCGGTGGGTGCTTGTGGGTGGGTGCTGTGGTGTGGTGGGTTGTGTGGGTGGGTGGTGTGCTTGTGTTGGTGGGTGCTTGCTTGTGTGGGTGGTGTGTGTGGGTGGTGCTTGTGGTGTGTGGTGCTTGTGAGCATGGGTGCTTGTGTGCTTGTGTGGGTGGGTGCTTGTGTGAGTGGTGCTTGTGGTGTGGGGTGGGTGTTGTGGGTGGGTGCTTGTGTGGTGGGTGCTTGTGTGGTGGGTGCCTTGTGTGGGTGGGTGCTTGTGGGTGGGTGCTTGTGTGTGTGCGTGGGTGCTTGTGTGGGTGGGTTGCTTGTGGTGGGTGGGTGCTTGTGTGGGTGGGTGTGCTTGTGTGGGTGGGTTGCTTTTTGTGGGTGGGTGCTTGTGTGGGTGGGTGCTTTGTGTGGGTGGGTGCTTATGTGGGTGGGTTATGTGGGTGGTGCTTATGTGGGTGGGTGCTTATGTGGGTGGGTGCTTATGTGGGTGGGTGCTTTATGTGGGTGGGTGCTTGTGTGGGTAGGTGTTATCATGGGTGGGTATAAATCTCATATTCTGGATAAATAAACAAAGAAAATTCAGCATCAAAACACTTGAAAAAAATATAGCACATAACCACAGCCAAATCTGCACTACCTGAAGTGTCAGCTCCTTTTCCTGTATCTCCTGCTGTTTGTGGTGAAGTTCCTCCTGCCATCTGGACTCCCTTTCTTCGATTTGCTTTTCCAAGGTAGCCACAGCTTGTTTACTCCTCTCTGTCTCTGCTTCTTTGGCCTGTAACTCCTCAAACAACTGTTTCTTGGTCTCTGCCATACTCAAGGCAGAGGATTCCATACTTGAACGTAAGGAATCCAATTCCTTCTGATGCTCTTCCTACAGACAAAGAAACAACCAAATCAGATCAAGTTACAGATACATGTTCAGATTTAGTTGTATACCAATAAAAAGTGAATGAGATGAACATATCATTTGATATTAGTACAAGAGAACCAAAACCTGAAAAACAGTGACACCCTTTTGTTATTGTTTTAACATAATTCACTGAAAGTAGGTAGAATATCTTAAAGCACATACTTTCATGATGTCCAGTTGCTTTATCTTGTCCTGGAGTTGGTTCGTAGCAATATCTCTCTCTTGGGTCAAAACGACAATGCGCTCCTTATTTCCACGGATGTTGTCCATACACCGAGCCAGCAAGGATTTGTGTTTGGCAACATCACCTAAAATCCACATTTGATGCTAAACTCAGTTCTTTAACATATCAGATATCTACAGATACATACCCTCTGTATATGTTAGTACAATAAAATATGTATACGTCTTCAACACATATAACAAGCACAAGTCAGTTAATTCCATATCAAACTGACTACCCATCTCTCTGCATTTTCTGCCTTACCAAAGTAATATTGGTGTAAGAGTGCCTACAGTCTAAGTAAAATATCTATAACAATAACAATCAATTATGATGATAATTTTCATCAGCAAAAATTAACTCTAAATACTATAAATAGATAAAATAATAACAATAAAATAGATAATAATAATAAAAACAATAATAATAGTAGCAATAGTAGTAATAATAGTAATAGTAATAGTAATAGTAATTAATTGTAATTGTAATTGTAATTGTAATTGTAATTCAGTTAGTAATAATAATTAGTAATAGTAATAGTAATAGTAATAGTAATAGTAATAGTAATATAGTAATAGTAATAGTAATAGTAATAGTAATAGTAATAGTAATAGTAATAGTAATAGTAATAATAATAATAATAATAATAATAATAATAATAATAATAATAATAATAATAATAACAACAACAACAATAATGATAATAATGATAGTAATAATAATAATAATCATAATAATAATAATCTTAACAATAATCATAATAATAACAATAATAACATAACTAACAAAATAACAATAACAATAACAATAACAATAACAATAACAATAACAATAACAATAACAATAACAATAACAATAATAATAATAATAATAATAATAATAATAATAATAATAATAATAATAATAATAATAATAATAATAATAATAATAATAATAACAATAACAATAACAATAACAATAACAATAACAATAACAATAATAATAATAATAATAATAATAATAATAATAATAATAATAATAATAATAATAATAATAATAATAATAATGATAATAATAATGATAATAATAATGATAATAATGATGATAATGATGATAATAATGATGATGATGATGATGATGATGATGATGATGATGATGATGATGATGATGATGATGATGATGATGATGATGATGATGATGATGATGATGATGATAATAATGATGATAATAATGATGATAATAATGATAATAATAATAATAATAATAATGATAATAATAATGATAATAATAATGATAATAAAATGATAATAATAATGATAATAATAATGATAATAATAATGATAATAATAATGATAATAAAAATAATAACAAAAATAATAATAACAATAATAGTAGTAATAATAGTAGTAATAACAGTAATAACAACAGCAATAATAACAACAGCAATAATAATAATAACAATAACAATAACAATAACAATAACAATAACAATAACAATAACAATAACAATAAATAATAATAAATAATAATAATAATAATAATAATAATAATAATAATAATAATAATAATAATAATAATAATAATAATAATAATAATAATAATAACAACAACAATTATTATTATTATTGTTATTATTATTATAAAAACAATAATAGTAATGATAATAGTAATAATAATAATAATAATAATAAATCAATAATAATAATAACAATAATAATATCAGTATTAAAATTAATATCAATATGAAAATTAACATGGAGATGATGATGATGATAATGATGATTGAAATATTAATAAATTTTTCATGATTTTGGACACTTTCATACAACAAAGAATATTTTCAACAAAATTAGTAATGCTTATAATAATGATATCAGTTTGCCTTCAGTACCTTCAAAACATATTCAGATAAGGAAAGGGATAGACTAGAATGGGATACGGAATAGCTGAGATGCATTACGGCCCCACCAGGGTCACATCCTCCACTTAGCAGGGCAGCCAATCCTACCCTCCTAGGATGAGCTATCCATTCACAATGATCCTAAATTTGACTGGACAGCTGTCTTGCTTGGCAAGAAAGGTTTTGGACATACTGGGATAGGGAAAAGGATAGATAGGGATAGAGTGCAGAATATACTGGGATGGGGTAAAGAATAGATTTGGATGGGGTAAGGAGTAGACTGGGATAGGGAAAGGAATAGACTGGGATGGGGAAAAGAGTAGACTGGGATGGGGAAAGGAATAGACTGGGATGGGGAAAAAAGTAGACTGGGATGGGGAAAGGCATACACTGGGATGGGGAAAAGAGTAGACTGGGATAGAGAAAGGAACAGACTGGAATAGACTGGGATGGGGAAAGGAACAGACTGGGATGGGGAAAGGAACAGACTGGGATGGGGAAAGGAACAGATTGGGATGGTGAAAGTAACAGATTGGGATGGGCAAAGGAACAGTTCGATTGGGATAGGGAAAGGAATAGACTAGGGTGGGGAAAGGAACAGATTGGGATAGGGAAAGGAATAGACTGGAATGGGCAAAGGAACAGATTGGGATGGGGAAAGGAACAGACTGGGATGGGGAAAGGAATAGGGATGGGGAAAGGAACA